TAAAGAAATGCAAAAACATAACGTTAAGTAATGTTTTACATTTTAGCAGCTCTATTAGTTGACTGAAAAGCATACATTTTAATTTTCTTAATGTTGTCAAGTGGAAAAGCACAGGATTAATGTTAGGCCCTTTGTACCCAGCTCTGAGATGGGTAAACACTGAAGACACAGGAAGTCTCTGTCCTGAAGGAGTTCATAATCAAATAATAAAGACAGAAGAGAGCCAAGCAGAGAGAACTTTAAAAGGAGCACATGTTAGGAGTACCTAACCCAAACCAGAAAACAAAGAGTCACTTTTGGCCCCCACTTCCAGGAACACTATCAAAACTCTGAGGTCCTTCCATCAACAAAAGCAGCCATAAAATGCTATTATCACTTAATATCACACTTAACCCCTTAACAATATGCTAACACAAATAACGATTCTAGTTAATTAACTAGTGACCTACCATTTTGGAAGAGAGCTAATGTATAAGTGAAAGAACTTCTCAAGAAAAAAATTAATAAAAAATATAATGGAAGAAGAAAAGCAGAAGAAAACTTCAATAGCGGCAGAAAAAAATATTGAGGGATGAGGATGGAGCAAGCAGAGCAAACACATTCAATGTCCTTTACCAGGGGCAGTAATATACCATGACTAAGAGTTTCTTATATTCTTTAATCCAGATTTCCTATTTTGACTTATGACCAATGTTTTCCTGCACCAGAAATAATATTCTAAAAAAGATCTTAACATCAGTTACAGAATGTTTAACAAAAAAAAATAAAAACCCACCAATCTCCTTACCGGATGCAAAAAAACCCTAAGCATAAAATGGCAGTCATGCCATTACATCCCATGACATCTCTTTATAAAAGTTGCCAATCTCAGAAGGCTAAGATTTACTAATCATCCAAAAAAACTTCACTTAACAATAAACACAGGAGCTAAAAAAAAAAAAAAAAAAAAAGCTCTAAATGAAAAAATCTAGGTTTTCCCCTCAATTTTCTTATCAATTCCCTTTTCCTATTTCTTGCCTATCATTGGCCATGGATGATAGGTCTCCACACCTTGTCATCTTTTCAAAAATATTCTTGTTAACTTATGTCCTATTAAGACTTTCTACATGCAAATTCCTTAAACTCAAAGTAGAAGCAGCAGTGGCTCCCAGTGGCCAATTCATGATAACTATTTTCCCTATCACAGCTCTTGTATTTTCACATATAGTTTCCACAATTACAAAACCTCACAGAAGTCACTATATTAGAAAAAAAAATAAGTTAACAAAAAGATATTAACATTAATCCTGTGCTTTTCCACTTGACAACAGTTAAGAAAATTAAAATGTACGCTTTTCAGTCAACTAAGAGAGACGCTAAAATGTAAAACATTACTTAACATTATGTGTTTTTGCTTTTTTTTTTTTTTTGAGGTCTCACTGTCACCCAGGCTGGAGTGCAGTGGTGCAATCATAGCTGCCTGCAGCCTTAAACTCCCAGGCTCAAACAGTCTTCCCACCTTGACCTCCCATAGTAGTGGAATTATAGGCATGTGCCATCATGCCACACCCACCCCTGATTTTGGATTTTCAATGTCCCTGGGATCACTTACTGACTCAATTATTTTATTTATTTGAAACAAGGTCTCACTCTTGTCACCCTGGTTGGAATGCAGTGGTGTGATCACTGCTCACTACAGCCTCGACTTCCCAGGCTCAAGTGATCTTCTTAACCCCAGCCTCCAAGGTAGTTGGGACTACAGGTGTGTACCACCACGCCAGGCTTATTTTTTAATTTTTTTGTACAGACAGGCATCTCACTATGTTGCCCGGGCTGGTCTCAAAACTCCTGGACTCAAGTGATCCGCTTGCCTCAGGATTACAGACGTGAACCAGTGGTACCCGGCATGACTCAAATAACTGAATAGTCACTATTTCTGTGTGTAACAAAGCATCATCATCCACCTATTTGTTACAGTTTGATCAGCTTAAGGCTGTTCAGAACTAATTTTCCTAGACATTCAACCTCAGTTATGTAGCTGAAAAGATTAGGGTGACATTCTAGATGTTTGATATCTGAAGATGGAAGATGGAGAGCCATGAGCCAAGGAGTGAGGGCAGCCTCTAGAAGTTAAGAACTTTAAGGTAACAGTCAGCAAAGAGAGGGACCTCATTCATTCCTATAACCACACGGAACTAAATTCTGCCAACAACCTGAAAGAGCCTGGAAACAGATTCACACCCAAAGCCTCCAGAGAGAAACACAGCCCTGTTGACACCTGAGCTCTAAGCAACGACCCAGATATCTGATCTCTAGAAACTAGAAGATAATACATGTGTTGTTTTAAACTACTAAGTTTGTAGTAACTTCTTATGGCAACTACAGCAAACTAGTACAGATTGTTGGGACAAGTCAGGTGCTGCTGTTAACACACAGCTAAAAATGTGGAAATGGATTTAGAAATCAGGCAGTCGGTAGAGGCTGGAAGAATTCTGAACATCGTGATAGAAAATGACTAAGTTTCCTTGAACAACCTGTTACTAGAAATGTAGACTTTAAAGACATGGCCAATGAGTGCTCACAGACTGCCTGAAGAAATTCAGACTTGCAGGATTCAAAGGATCCAATTTGTATTGGGTGTTCCTTTGTTATTTATTCTGACAACATCTGCCTTAACCAGAGTGTTTAATACATTTTACATAATTGTTAATTTGGTTAGTTTTGCTTTTTTTTTTTTTTAATTTTATTTACTTTTTTTTAGAGATAGGGTCTTGCTCTGTCACCCAGGCTGGAGTGCAGTGACAAAATCAGCTCACTGCAACCTCGAATTCCTGGGCTCCAGCAATCCTCCTGCCTCAACCTTCTGAGTAGCTGGAACTACAGGCACATGCCTGATTCCTTAGTTTAAAATCTACTGTCTTGCTATTGTTTCTAATGTTCCATCTTTCTGTTACTGTATTCTTTTCCTTCTTGCCTGCCTTCTTTTTCTATCACTATCATCTCTCACCTAGATTGCTACAAGTAGCCTCCTAACTTGTCTCCTTGCTTCTAGGCTAATTTTTACTCCCAAACTAGTTGTATCCAGCAACAGTCTCATCCTTATTGTCTTCCACCTTTTCTGGGTAAAGACCAATTGTGACAATAACCTACAAGGCCCTGTAATACATCTGCCCCCATTACCTCTCCTCTCTGACCTCATTTTCTACTATTCTCCCCCTCACTTACTCCATTTCAGTCATACTGTCCCCTTATTCTTCCTTGAACACCCCAGACACACTCCCACCTCAGGACCTTTGTGTCTGCTGTTACCTCCATCTAGAATACTATTCCCTACTTCCCTCACTTACAGACTTTTGAGTAAAGTTTACTTGGCCCGTAACTATCAGTGGTAGGTGGAATAATCTGGGTAGGTCCCCAAATGATGTCCATGATCTAATCCCTGGAACCTGTGAATGTTACATTACATGGCAAAGGGGAATTAAGGTTGCAGGTGAAATTAAGGCTGCTAATCAACTGACCTTAAAATACGAAGATTATCCTACATTACCTAGAAGGGCCCAATGTATTCACAGGGGTCTTTAAAAGAGAGAGGATGATGTGACTACAGAAGAACGGTCAGAGAGTTACAAAGTTGCTGACTGTGAAGAGGGAGGAAGGGAACCACAAACAAGAAACATAAGCAGCCTCCAGAAATGGAAAAGGCAAGAAAATAGATTATTCCAACCAGCTGGCCCAGATGCGTGGCTCAGGCCTGTAATCCCAGCACTTTGGGAGGCCAGGCGGGTGGATCACAAGTCAAGGAGTTCAAAGACCAGCCTAGCCAATTGGTGAAACCCCGTCTCTACTAAAAAAACAAAAAAAAAAAAAAAAAAAAAATTAGCGGGAACATCGTGGTGGGTGCTATAATCCGAGCTACTCAGGAAGCTGAGGCAGGAGAACGCTTTGAACCCAGGAGGCAGAGGTTGCAGTGAGCCGAGATCGTGCCACTGCACTCTAACACTGGGTGACAAGAGCAAGACTCGATCTCAAAAAAAAAAAAAAAAAAGATTATTGTCTTAGAACCTCCTAAATGAACATAGCCCTACCAATGTCTAGATTTTGGCACCCAAGACCCATTCAAACTTCTTGACTCCAGAAATGAAAGATAATGAATTTGTATTGTTTAAGCCACTTTTATGTTTGCGGTAGTTTGTTATGGCAGCAATGGAAAACTAATACACTACCCTATTTAAATCTCTAAGTCCCCACCCCTTTCCCCACTTTGCTGCTTAATCTTTTTCCTCCACAAAATGCAATACCTTCTAACAAACTTTATAATTTACTTGTTTTGTTTATAAATGTAAATTCTGCAAAGAAATGTAAGTTCCATAAAGGCAGGGAGTGTCTATTTCGTCTGCTATTTCCCAGAGTATAGTTAGGTGCTCAAATATTTGCCGAATAAACATTTGATGGGATTATACACATATGACTACATATGAAGAACTGTGCTAAGGATAATGATGATTAAAAAGCCATTAATCTCAAAGAAAAACTAGGTATATAATCAGTGGTTGCTTCTATTCAACAGCATTTAGATTTATAACTATGCATTAACATCTCTCAAAACACCTTTATTATTCAGTGTCTTAACTATTCCTTTTCATTCCAATTGCAACGGCTTTTTTGTTGACAAATTTTAATAACTAAGGAGACACTTCGAACATCTATTAAGTATACAATTTCTTAAAAAGACATTCTGAATATTCATGCCTTTGGGGTGATTTGATTCAGAAAATAATCAATATACAAAGTATTTCCTTCCTGAAAGAAGTTATAGAGATTTTGGAAAATCCCCAGGTTTGAAATATAAAACAAAAAATTTTGGCAATTACCAACAAACATATCTTCATTCGACGAACAGAGAAATCTTTGGTGTTAGAGTTGTTTACTCCATGATTACACCACTGCACTCCAGCATAGGTAGCAGAGCCAGACTCTGTCTTAAAAAAAAAAAAAAAAAAAAAAAAAAAAAAAAAAAATCACTTACCTGTTCCAGGAGTAGATGTAACTCCAACAAGAGGACTCTGCATTACTGAAATGTTTGGCTACGCAAAAACAGAAGAAAGTGTTATGGTAAAAATGCAAAACACAAATACAGTAAGCGTTAAAAGGCTTCATTCAACAGATAACTGAACTTTTATCAGGTGCTAGAGATGCCTCTAATTAGATCAAAGTACAAAGGCACTCTTTTTTCCCGTAAGTTAAATAGTATTAACCTAAAATATACTAGACCCCTTAGTATTTGTTAAAATAAGAAAAGTCATGTTTTAAAAAAAAAAAAAAAGACATTATCTTCTATAAAAGGTGACATGGTAACTATTTGTTTTTAGTTTCTAAAGTGCAATATTTGAAATAACAGAGATAATGGTAATTTTTAAAATGACCAAGTTCATACAGAAAAACAGAAGGGTGACAGAATATGATTTTCACCAGATACTTAGAAACCATGAAATACTCTAGATTCAAATCAGTCTAAACAATAATAGACAGCATATCCCTACCACTACCGGTAGAACGTTCCAAAACTGGTAAATCATCCATTTTACTCCCTTTAAATATAATTAAGGATTAAAACAGTTAAAAATCCTTCTAAAACAAGACGATATTCAATCAATAAATGAGAACAGACTCTACCTAGAACTCAATATTTTTAAAAACAGATTCTAATTAAACTAAGGAAATCTCAAATAGCTTCATCTAGCAACCAGAACTAAATGCTGAGAGAATGCTGGGAGAGATATAAAATGTATTCTTCAATTATTAATGCCAATTCTTTCATGATTAGAAAAAGGTTGAGCAAATTCCAGGGGGCATACCTAATTTGGGCTCTAATCTAGCAATGATATTCTTACCAACTTTCAAATCAAAAACATTCTCTATAAATTATGACCCATGAGTCTTTCAAGCATTTTGAATACAGCAATATCTGCAAGCCTTTGCCTATATCATCAGAGAAGTAATGAAAACTTGCACAAATTTAGAAGCCAGTGGTTCTTGTAACAAACAATTTTTAAATTTTTATTATTTTATTTATTTTTGAGACAGGGTCTCACTCTGTCACGCAGGTTGAGTGCAGTAACACAATCACAGCCCATTGTAGCCTGAGCTTCCCAGGCTCAAGAAATCATCCCACCTCAGCTTTCTGAGTAGCTGGGACTATAGGTACACACCACCACACCCAGTCAATTTTTTTTTTTTTTGTATGTTTAGTAGACACAGAGTTTCGCCATGTAGCCCAGGCTGATCTCAAACTCATGGGCTCAAGTGATCTGCCCAAAGCCCAGCACAGGGGCTCACACTTGTAATCCCAGCACTTTGGGAGGCCAAGGAAGGTGGATTACTTGAGCTCAGGAGTTCAAGACCAGCCTGGGCAACAGGACAAATCCCATCTCTACAAAAAATACAAAAATTAGCTAGGCATGGTGGTGTACGTGTGTAGTCCCTGCTACTAAGGAGCAGAGGTGGGAGGATCACTTGAGCCCAGGAGGTCAAGACTACAGTGGGGCATGAGCATTCCACTGCACTCTAGTCTGGGTGATACAGCAAGACCCTGTCTCAAAAAATAATAATAATAAAAATGATAAAAATACATAAAAATCAAGCAATCCGCCCACCTCAGCCTCCCAAAGTGCTGGGATTACAGGCGTGCACCAACACGCCCAGCCTTCATACCAAACTAAACATAAGCTTTACTTACCAACCTTTAGAAAACCATCCCAGACCAGAATATCTGTCCATTAGGAACAACAAATGCCATACATGTAATTTTACCATTTCTAGTAGGTACATTTAAAAAGTACAAACAGGTGAAATTTAGTAATGGTTTATTTAGCCCAACACATCCAAAACATTCTCATTTCAATATGTAATCAACATAAAAAATAAGATACCATACATTCTAAGTCTTCAAACTCTGGTGTGTATTTTATACTTAAAGTATATCTCAATTGAGACTAGTTATATCTCTAGTATCAATAGCCACACTTAGCTAGTGGCTCCTGTTAGACACGAAGGCAGGTCTAGAAGTGCTGGGAAGAAACAGTAATCTGTTTACCACAGTGAATGAATTTTGCTTTACTTGACAAGTAAGCCTAGTATGCCAGATATATCAAGCCTATAAATAGCACGAATCTACTGAAAAAAGCTTTCTAATATTCTTGAACTCTTAACTTCACTAAATACGATTTAGGGAAAAGCATGAAACATATATCTAAAGCAAACAGCAGACATATGTTTATATAAAGAACTTATCAACTTAACTGATAAACGTTTATGATTGTCCTACTAAGCACAATAATAATAGGAAACAACACTTGTGTCTATGAAGCTACTAAATTTTCCACTTAAAAGAAAAGTTGGCCAGGCACAGTGGCTCACACTTATAATCTAGAGCTTTGAGAGGTCAAGGTGCAAGGATCACTTGAAGCCAGCAAGACCTCATCTCTACAAAAAATAACACAATTAGCCAGGCATAGCAGCACGTGCCTATATCCCAATAGGACAGTTGAGGCAGAAGGACTGTTTGAACCCAGGAGTTCAAGGCTGCAGAGTTATGACTGCATCACTGCACTCTAGCCTGGGCAACAGAGCAGGACCCTGTTGGGACCTTAAAAAACAGAAGAAAATAAAGAGAAGTCTATACTACTTCTCAGCTGACAAGTGCCCTAGATCTAGATGAAACTCTAAATTTTCATTTATTCTTTCACATAATTTTTAAATATTAAACTTCTTAAACAATCAGAAAGATTTAAACCATAATCACATTCTACATGTATATTAAGTAGATTGGAGGTATGAGCAGGTGGATAAGGCATATCTATAAAAACTGACAATTACCTATGAGAGAAAATCTAGAGTTCTACGCTGTTAAGTACAGTTCATCATCAACAATTTAAGTTGATTGTACGATAAATGTGTTTAATGCTTATTCTGTGCAACACAGTTACATTAAAATAGACCTCAGGGAAACATTTCAAAGTATTGACTCTCACTGAACAGTCACATAAAACCATGATGTTGTTCACTGTGGATCAAAATGGTATTTATATTACCTGTCTTCTTGAAGTTAAAGGTGTTGATCCAAGTCCTGGGCTAGAAATGTCATCATATATACTTCTAACTGGTGGAGCGCCACTTTTATCTTTATGAGCTGGTAAAACTGGTTGTGGTGGTGACCCACCTACAGTGTACAAAAAAAAAAAAAGGTGAGAAAAGAAAGGATTCTTCTATCTTTTTGGTAAGATTTTTAAAAATTTATATTTTTGAAATATTGACTTAAAATCTTGTCTCCTAGTTCTTTTCAAACTTTAATAAGCTGAAGAGTCACCTGGGGACCTTGTTAAAATTCAGACTCTGATTCAGAAGGTGTAGGGTGAAGCCTGAGATTATACAGTTCTAACAAGCTCCCAGGTGATGCCAATGCTGCTGATCCACAGACTGCACTTTGAACAAAAGGATTCAGAGTAAGTAGTTAAGGAAAATCTTAGTTTTCAGAAAACACATGTAACTTTTGCTCTCTCTACAAAATGCTTAACATTTAAATACAAAACTTGATCCCATTTCTCACTTGAAAGTAGGTACTAAACAACTCCAGTCTGTAGATTCCTGAATAAATATAATTCCCTAATGTAGAGTCTGACTATCTAGATTAAGTACATCCCATTCATGTTTCTCACAGTAGAAATATATTTAAGTACATAATAAAGATGTAATAAAAGGAACAACTTCTGTGACATAAAGATGTCTTTTTCGATCAGAGAACATGCAATGCCAAAGAGTGATGCAGCCCAGGCCATTGGTAAGACTAATGTCTGAGCTTGGACAGTATAGCTTGAGCTATTTAGAGCACAGTCTATGGAATAAGACTAACCTGAGGTTTATAGCGCTCTCTCACTACAAGTGAGCTTCAGCAAATTATTTGTTGCATTTAGCCTCAGTTTCCTCTTTTTAAAAATGGGGATACTGTTACCTACCCTTTAAGATTGACAAAATAAGGATTAGCATACTGCCAGGCTCATAAGCAATCAATACATGTTGGCTACCATAATAAAACACATTTGAAATTTAATGTTTAATGTTAAATGAATTATTTCAAATATAATTTATAATTCTCCTGGATAAATCCTAAATAATAATAAACCATTTTAAAGCAAAAATACTTTAAAGGGCAATTAAGGTAAAAAGAGTTTTCATCTGAACAACTACTAAAGGATATTAGCTCACAATTAGAATTCAACCACTTCCGTAGCTAATTCTCACTACTCAGTTAAAACTTTGAAGTCATTTTTTAAAATATTTCTTTGCTAAAGGAGTTCTGCAATAAATACAGGCTGCATTCACAATACTTTGCCCTGACAATCACAAATTCTGTGTATAAAACCTCCCCTTAGTTTGCAAAGTCAGTCCTTTCCTCAAACATGCTATATGTGACAATCTCAATTCACTAAGACTAAAGGCAGAATTCACATCTACATCTTCAAGTTACATTTCTTTTGACCAATCATTTCCTCTGCTTGTATCTTAAGATGAATTACTTTAAATTAATTCAGTTGAAGCTAAATGATGGTATTTCATCAACTCTATGAGGCACTCTCCCCCCACCACACTCTGACATCTCCAAAACAGAAATTTTACAAAAAATGGCATCTTAGCATTATGTCATATTTAGGGTTATTTTTGCTAGTGGTACTTAAAAGTCAATTCAATGGCATCTTAGAATGAATAAAAAGTAGAATACATTTTAGTGGCTCTAGAAATTATAGCTTATACTGCTTACATCTCTATTCCAAGAGCCTTAAAATAAAAGCTTTGCTTTATAATAGACACATTGCTTAATTTTTTTTTAATTAATGAACGTATTGACGAGGGTGAATGCTGCACCATTACACTTTTTAAAATTTTTTTTGTAGCTCATCAGCTATTGTTAGAGTTACTGTATTTTATGTGTGGCCCAAGTCAATTCTTCCCATGTGGTCCAGGGAAGCCAAAAGATTGGACATTCCTGTATGCAGCACGTCTATAAAATTATTTTAAGCAATTCACCTACCTGCAAGTAAAGGTGATCTCATTTCCATTACTCCTACCGAAGGGCCACTAATTGATCGAGGTTGGGGAGTCACCGGAGCTGGCAAATCCCCCATTAAAAATCCAGGTAAGAACTGGGCATTAACTCCTGGCTTTGGAGATGTGGGTGAACCCAGCATCATTGGTTCAGATCCTACATGAATCAAAAAATAAATTAAAGACTTTTCTGTTACAATATCTGACAAATACATGCAAGAATCTACCATAATTTTGAAAGTTTAATCAAAACTTTTAGATATAATAGAACTATAGTTGAATTTATTATTTTAAAAGCCAACAAAAATTATTTCTAGAAAAATGTAAAGTTATCTTGTATTCTTTTTTTTTTTTTTTTTTTTTGAGAGTCAGAGTCTCGCTCTGTCACCAGGCTGGAGTGCAGTGGCGCAATCTCAGTTCACTGCAACCTCTACCTCCTAGACTCAAGCGATCCTCCCTCCCCAGCCTCTCAGTAGCTGAGTCGACAGGCCTGCACTACCACGCCCAGCTAATTTTTGTATTTTTTTGTAGAAATGGGGTTTCACCATGCTGCCCAGGCTGGTCTGGAGCTCCTGAGCTCAGGTGATCCACCAGCCTTGGCCTCCCAAAGTGCTGAGATTAAAGGCATGAAGCCACCATGCCTGGCAGCACAATATTAATCCGTGACAGCTATTTTTGTTTACATTATTTCAGGGATTTAAAAATCACACTAATAACTTCTTTCCATTTCCGAATCAGTTTGGACTATGTAACAACCGAAAACAAGGACAGGCTGCACTACTTATACAAAGTCTTAGAATATCAAACACAACGCGTTTAGCTTGCTAAATTGTTTCTTTTTCTTCCCCATAAAAAGTGCATCATTATTGTGATAAAACTGTAACCATGCATATATTAGAGCACTTACAAAATAACAGTGATAACTAGCACCCTAACTCAGAAACATGTTGAAAAGAATTGAAAACTTATTTTTGTAACTTTTTTCTTAATCATTAGTTTAAGTCAAGAATAATCACAGCTGGGCGTGGTGACTCAAGCCTGAAATCCTAGCACTTTGGGAGGCCAAGGCAGGAGGATCACTTGAGCTCAGGAATTCAAGACCAGCCTGGGAAACACAGTGAGAGCTCATCCTTTTTATTAAAAAAAAAAAAAAAAAAAATTAAAGAATCATCTCTAAATATTCCCCTAATATAAAGCCAACTTAGAGAACTGAAACCTCTCACAATTGTTGATACAAAATCCTCACAGTCTATAGATATTATTTCCCTTATGAAGATGAGTGAGCTATATAATTCTATTTTTATAGCAAAATAGCAGAATAAGGAAAACGACGGGCTATGGAGTCAAAGATGTGCGTTCAAGGTCTTTCAGCAAAAGGGAAACAGAGCTTTTGTTAGAATTATAGCAAGTACAGCTTGACCTGGTACCTGATACACAGTTAAGTGCTCAGTAAATACGAATTATTATTTTCTACAAGTATTTCATAATAGCAAAAACTGAGTAGTGAAAGTATAAATGTAGAATTTGCAATCTCTGCTTATGAAAATAATTTTCAACTAGCTGACAAGCCTGAGTGTGACTCATGGCACCCAGAAGGGTCAAATGTTTGCTATGTTATTTGTATGTTTTTTATTAACTATTACTTAACTTCCAGACAGCCTTAAAAATCTGCTTCTTGATATCTAAAAGCTGCCAACTCTTTACTCTTCCTCTTATTTCCCATTTTACTAGGCCTAGATATTAACAATACAAGTGTATAAAAGACAAAAAAAAATTCAATAAATGGATAAAGCAGATGCTAAAACAAGGTGTAAAAAACTCTAATTACATTGTAATTACTTTAAAAAGTGCTAGTTACTATGTTACATGGCACTACAGAAATATTTCCTAAGAATATCCACTAAAATCAAACCAAAAGTCTAAACAAAGGCATATTCCTAACAGATATTTAGAATACCATATTAAATGCAAAGTTTTTGGTAACATCCACTACATTCACTCCCCTCCCTAAAAGAAAAAAAAAATTATAGCAAAATAAAGTAAGAATTGGCTTAAGAAAAGTTGTGATATATCTGGATACATATAGACACAGTAGAAGCCTCAAGCCTGTAATCCCAGGATTTTGGGAGGCCGAGGGGGGCGGATCGCTTAAGCTCAGTTCCAGACCAGTCTGGACAAAAGGGCGAAACCTTGCCTCCACCAAAAATACAAAAAGTAGCTGGGAGTGGCGGCACACGCCACTGGGAGACTGAGGTGGGAGGATTGTTTGAGCCCGGAGGCGGAGGCGGAAGTTGCAGTGGGCTGAGATTGCACAACTGCACTCCAGCCCAGCCCGGGGGACAGGGCGAGACCCTGTGTCAAAAAAGAGGAAGGGAGGGAGGGAGGAGGGAGAGAGGGAAGAAGGAACGAAAAGAAAAAAGAAAGCACCAGACAGCAAGGAGGGCACAATGGGCTCTTAATCAGGACTGTCACTAACCACCCTTCAGACTAAATTTCACTTAAAGCAAACTTAAGGAAAAAATGCTGCATGTCCTCAATTCCATTTCATATTCTGTGCTCCTAAAAGATTCGTACTCAGCTAGTACAGTTTGTTGAAGTCAACCCTTAGTTTTACTACACCAGTGGGCACCTGGAATATCTGCAAAATGTGAACTTGCACATTAATACTGGCTAATGTCAGATTTCTGGCAAGGCAATATACAGGGATTGGTTTACTCACATTTGTAACCCCAATAAATATGCACTCCAAAATGTTTTTGTTCAATAGAAAAATTTGGAACTGGAAATGAAGAGTTTTCTGATCTCTAAAATATATTAAAAATAAATACCAAGACGACATTTGTACATAAATTTTAATGCAGAGTATCTGCATTATTGACATTATGCATTTAGTTTTTTTATGACATACTAAAGCAGTTCAAGTTACTCTATTCTCAAAAGGAACTTATTTTACACCAAACATGGCAAGCATTATATACCCTTCAAATCTAAAAAGACTCTTTCTACTATATATATATATATATCACACTTGCTCTCTTTTCCAAGCTCAGAAAGTTATAACCTAACTTTCAGGTAAGTCTCTATGACAGTAAGACGGTTTATTTTCCGTTCTAAAATTTTCGACGGTTCTCACAAGTCGCAAAACTCAGCAGGAAAAAAAAAAAAAGGAATCCGCGTGCTGTTACATTGGTAGATTTTTTCCAAATACGACATATTTCAATGAGGCTCCGCAATAAATAATGGGAGTGAATCTTTAAAAAATTCAGATCGTGACCTATTAGAGAAAAATACCTCCTACAATACTTAAGAGTCACTTTCCCCAAATAAAGGCGGGAAATATCGTGCGAACTCCTAGCTTGCTATTAAGGCCAATATCTCAATGATTACCAACCACCTGGTTGATTAAACGTTGCACGATTCAAGCTTCCATTAATAACAAGATTCCTTTTGCAAAGCCCGGGAGAGAGGAGGAGTCAAAACAGGAACTAGAAGCACAGGTGATCAAGAAGCAGTGGACTGCACCCACACACTTCAGGGCACCGCCCACCCACGTGTACCGCGGTCAGTTCCTCCCAGGGAGGCTTCCGGGGAACCGGGGAATCCAGCAACTAGCAGCGCGTCTCGGGTATTAGAAGGAGGTTAAGGTATGGGCCAGTCTGGCGTAGCTGGCGTATGGGGGCACAAACACAGCTCAGTCACCGTCCGACGGCCTTTCCTTCACCCTCCCAGGCCCACAGCTTCCCGGCGCCACCTCTGTAGCAGTATGGAGGCGATGCGTTGAGTAGGGGACTGACTAGGAACTTGGGGGCACCCAATGGTTCCCTCTCCGCGACTGAAACCAGCAGACGAGAGCCTGACGACTGCCCTTCAGTCTTGCCCGCCTCCAGGCCCAAAGCAGGGATGGCAGTGCCAACAAGGAAAAGCAGTATTTCACTCACCTAACGCGGGCCCCTGAGGTTCCACGGCAAAGGCTGCCATTGCGTCGGCAACTACACTTAAAACCAGGACCTTACCAATTTTCAAAAATGGCGGAAACGCTCCCTACGGGTAAGGGCGTGCTATCTCTTGGGGTTGCGTAACTTCCGGACCTGCGCTGTGCTTAAGTTGTGGGAGCCGGAGCCATTTTGGAATAGGGCAAAGTTTTTGCGCTAAGAATTTCCGAAAAAAGGGTTTTTCCACCGGGAAGGTGGCGAACCAGCGTGTGGTTCTGGGAATGCTTTTCGTCCCTCTGTGAGCTTCCTGATTTGTTGGCACTTGAGTTACATAGAAGCATAGATTATTTTACTCACGGTTTCATAATTAGCGTGAGTTGACCCAGTGCCCTATCACCGGTCAGCTTTTCCGAGTAACACCTGGGAAAGTCAGCTTGATGAAAACAATTGGTGCCTCTTTCCAATGTAAATTTCTGGACTTAGTGCATGACGCTTTTTTCTCAAAATATGTTTTCTACTATCTGTATGCCATTTCTTTTAAATTTTGTGTTATGTAGACAATTTTACATTAAAGCATAACTCATACGATGTTTTGTTGCATATTAATACATACAAAAATATAGCTAACGAACGCCTAAGTACACATGTAGATAATGGAGGATAATTATACGCACCCACGAACCCTCCACACCGCGGAATCTTTCGTGCTCCTGCCTGTGCCATCCCTGCCATCCATCTCCCCTCACTTTGCTGCTTTCCTTTAGGGCATAGTCATACGTAGATCACATATACATATTCTGCATATGTGTGTGTAAAAATATGTTGTTTAGTTTTGCTCAGTTACTAACTTTATACAATAATGTGCTACATATGTATAACTGGGGTGTTCTCAGCTCCATACCATGAGGATTATTTCCAAAATATCCAGCCATGCTCAGCTATTTCTTCTACGACTTCCAAAATCTCAAATCCAGTAAGAATTTTGTCTTTGGAATGAGGCAGTAACAATTCCAGAATTAAATGGTAGGTTCCCAGAAATCAAATTTTAAAACCACTCACAGATCGAATTGACTTTTTGAAAATGGGTGTGTGAATTGAATTGTGTCCCCCAAAAATTTATGTTCATGTCCTAACCCTCATACTTATGAATATGACCTTATTTGGAAATTGGGTCTTTGCAGATGTAATAAAGTTCAGATAAAGTCATATTGGAGTACCACAGGCTCGGTAACCTAAATCAGCACAAATGTATCTCTTATAATTCTGGAGGCCAGAAATCCAAAATGAGTATTATGGGGCTAAAATCAATAAGAAGGACTATTTTCTTCTGGAGGCTCCAGGGGAGAATCTATTACCTTGCTTTTTCAAGCTTGTAGAAGCTACTTATATTTCCTAGCTTTTGTCACCTTCCTGCCTTTTCAAAGCCAAAGATGAAGCATCTTTGGTCTGTCTGACACTGCTTTGTTCAGCTTCTGCCATCACATAGCCTTGTGATTACATTTAGGACTCGCCCAGGTGATCCAGGATAATCTTACTATTTCAATATCCAGTAGAGGTGATTAAGTTAATAATCACATCTTCAAAATAACTTTTGCCATATAAGGTAACATTCACAGGTTCTAAAGCTTAGTGTATGGATATCTTTGGGGACTAGTTAGCCCACAACACGGAGCAATCCACTTTTTAGAATTAAGCTACCAAGAAAGGTTCATCAATGAAGAAATTTCTACACACATTGAGGCTAGATGTGGTGGCTCACACCTGCAATCCCAGCACTTTGGGAGGCTGAGGGGTGGATCGCTTGAGCCCAGGAGTTTGAGACATAGTAAGAACCCACTTCGCTACAAAATAAAAAATAAATTTTTAAAAAAGAAATTTCTATAAAAATTATGATCTAGCCAAGCAAAAGAACACTATACACCGGCTAAAATAAATTAGATGGATTTGATATGAGTGTAAATATTAACCTAGAAAGATCTCTGTGATAGATACAATGAAAAAAAGTAATTTGAAAACATAAATATATATGCATACATATGTGGCACCATTTTATTTTTATTTAATAACAGGTTTATTTAGGAACAGATACAGAGAAAGAGAGAGAGAGAGAAAAGAGTGATGCTTCTTTAAATAAAGGAAGATGTTGAAAAAGATTTGCACTGGCCAGGCTCTGTGTCTCACACCTGTAATCCTAGCACTTTGGGAGGCCAAGACGGGCAGATCACAAGATCAGGAGTTCAAGACCAGCCTGGCCAACATGGTGAAACCCCATCTCTACTAAAAATACAAAAATTAGCCAGGCATGGTGATGCGTGCCTGTAATCCCAGCTGCTTGGGAGGCTGAAGCAGGAGAATCGCTTGAACCCAGGAGGTGGAGGTTGCAGTGAGCCAAGACCGTGCCACTGTACTCCAGCATGGCAACAGAGCGAGACTCTGTCTCAGAAAAAGAAAAAGATTTGCACCAAACTATTAACAGTAGAAATAAAGTAGTAAAAGGTTTGTAAATTGGAGGAATGGCCTTTAACTTATTTTATACAATTTTTGTGGTTGATTACAGGTGTTACTGCTATTTTGTTTATTTGTTTATTTATTTATTTATTGAGATGTAGTCTTGCTCTGTCACCAGGCTGTAGTGCAGTGTTGCAATCTCAGCTCACTGCAACCTCCACCTCCTGGGTTCAAGCGATTCCCCTGCCTCAGCCTCCGGAGTAGCTGGGACTATAGGCGCCTGCCACCACACCCGACTAATTTTTTTTTTTTTTTTAATTTTGGTAGAGACAGGGTTTCACCATGTTGGCCAGGATGGTCTCGATCTCCTGACCTCATGATCCACTCGCCTCACCCTCCCAAAGAGCTGGGATTACAGGCATGAGCCACTGTACCCGGCCCTATTTTCTTTATTTTTTTAATTAAAAACTTTTTTCCATTAATAAATTTATTTTCCTTTCTTTACCTGCATTTCAATATTTTACCCTTTTGATGGGCTCTTTTCCTTACCAAGCTATAAAGAAGCCCAGTATTGAAACCCTCCCTAGGCCTTGCTCTTCCACCTACCTACCATGTGCTAATTTCTCTCTCATTTCATTTTTTCATGATCTCAAAAGAAATGTCTATAGATTTTAGTAAATTATCTGTTTCCCTATCTTTACTATTTTGATTTTTAATTAATTACAGATTGGCTCCTGTGTAATGCTCTTCTGAAATAAAACTACTGACCCCAACTATTTTTTTTTTTTCTAATTGGCAAATTAGACCTGCCTCCTTGACATCTGCAGTATCCAACAGCTTTGACAATCTTTTCCTAAGTACAAGTGTTTTCTTTATTTTTGGTGATGCTACACTTCCTATTTCTCATAACTTCACTCCTTTTCTGGTTTTTCAATAATTGATCCCATTTTTTTCTAACCTGGGAATATTATTGTTGTTCAAGCCTTTGCTCTCTCCTTTCTTTTTCAACTCTTAGTGGTCTTCCTTGGAATCCTTATCATTGTCACCCTGTTCAAATAATTGTTAATAATCTATGCCCAACATCTCTAAAGTCAAATGCCACTTTTCCAGATGCTTGCTGGACAACCTACCCATACATCAAACCTCAAAAGCAAGCTCATCTTTTGTCCCTTTTTCTGTTCATCTCTTAGAAACTCAAAATTAAATTTGTAGTGTGTTAGCGGAATTTAGAGTCAGACGGACCTCAATTCAGAGCCCAACTCTCTCACTAAAACCCATATACTTGGATTTGTATTTGATTTCTAGATTTTATTGTTTGTAAAATAGAAACAATACCTGCTTTGAAAGGTGGTTATTCTTAGTACAGTGTCTGCTCCACTTCGGTTTTTATGACATTCACCTTCTCTACCATCAAACATTCAGATATTCTTTCTGCCTCTTCAATTCCTATACAATTGCAGTCAACTCTTCACATCTCCCTGCCTTCAGTTTCTCCCACCTAACACACCAGTAGCCAAAACTTTCTTTTTGTTGTTGTTGTTTTTTGAGACGGAGTCTCATTCTGCCATCCAGGCTGGAGTGCAGTGAAGCGATCTCAGGTTACTGCAACATCTGCCTCCTGTGTTCAAGCAATTCTCCTGCCTCAGGCTCCTGAGTAGCTGAGATTACAGGCGCACACCACCATGCCAGGCTAATTTTTGCATTTTTAATAGAGATAGGGTTTTGCCATGTTGGCCAGGCTGGTCTCAAACTCCTGACCTCAAGTGATCCTCCAGCTTTGGCCTCCCAAAGTGTTGGAATTACAGGCATGAGCCACTGCGCCTGGCCCAAAGTTTTTTCTTCATACACATTACCCAGCTGTCTGAAAACACTCACTGAGTTCCTATTTTCTACAGAAGCCTCCTTTCTTCAGCCTCCACAAGGCTCAGGTGTGCAGCACATGTCATCTAGTAACATCCTTTATTATACCATATACATTGTCACCTGGACAGCAAAGGAGGAAAAAAATCAAAATATTTCATGGTGGGAGGGTAGAAGCATCTCTTTGAGAGACTTCTATAGGAACCCCTAAAGGCAATACACATTGTTACCCTACTTTCACCTTGGGATAACTGAGAACCTTGGTTTCAAAAGTAAAATCCCAGGGTGTGGTGGCATGTACCTTGTAGTCCCAGCTACTGAGGAGGCTGAGGCGGGAGGATCACTTGAGCCCAGGAGTTCCATGCTGCAGTGAGCCATGATCCTGCTACTGAACTCCAGCCTAGGCCACAGAGCAGGACCCTGTTCCCTGGCCCCCCCAAAAAAGAAAATTTCCTTCACCTCCTCATCCTAAAATTTGCTCCAATTATCTCGTTATTCCCTGTTGGAAACCCTCATTCTCTTGTGAACAGCTCCTCACATTGTATTTCTTGCTCACATCAACCTTCAGACTAGCATCCCTTAGCTTTCCACCCCAATTTGCAAAGTCTTGTGTTTCTTTCAAGTAGCAGCTCGAGTCTCTTTCTGTCATGAAACCTGCCCCAGCCATGCCAACTCTGAATCATCTTCTCTCTTCACCTCACTTTGCTGTAAGATACTTGTAAGTTTTCTTTTCAGCCCCACTAGATGGATTTTCTTGAGGCCAGGGACCATAACTTTGCCTATTTTGTATTTCCATTACTTTTCAATTAAATGTATCTTGAAAAATGAATGGTTACAGTATGTAGCTATTTAGGCATAAACAGAGCAAGAGATGGTGACCCCTACCCCAACCGGGAATGTCAAGCGGTTGTTAAACTGTCTCTCTGAAATAATTGGTTGCAGCCAGTGCCAGGAAAAGGCAGTTTCCCAACAGATAGAAACACCTAAAACTGGTGATCAGCAGCTTCCGGATAAGATCTAAGGAGATGGGAGAGTGGGCTCAGGCATGCATATTAAGAGGCAAAATCGAGGAGTTTAACCGGTACATGACCTCCTAAGGACATTCAGCTGGTAAGGGAAGAACACCTCTGGTGAGCATGCGTACAACTCCAGTAAACACACTGCGCACGCTCACCTCCAAAGTGCTAACAGG